TCAAATCACCCTGCCTTTGGCTTGGCAATGCAACTTCCTACCCACTAGCTCACATGCTTTTAGACTATCTCAAACTTTATAAAGTATTTTAAAAAAGAAAAATTATACAAATTTTGACTAAGATGTAAAACAACTAGTGTGTGGACACTGCTACTTGGAATGTAAGGTGATAGAATCACTTCACAAAATAATCTGGCAGTTTCAGAAAAAGTGAAATATTCATTACCATTCAAACCAACCACAGCCATTCCACAACTAGATACTGATCCAGGAGAATTGTTAGCATATGCCTATACGAAGGCATGAACATCAACATTCCTAACAGTTTTTGTTTGTAATAGTTCAAAACTGGAAACAACTCCAATGTCTACCAACAGGTGAATGGCTCTGAGGATATACAAACTAGAATATATAGTATATTCATATAATGGAATAGTATTCAGCAATATAAAGGAATGTAACACTGATGAATCATAAAATAAGGATATTAGAAAAAAGCTAGACAAAAAATTTACACACTTAATATTCCAATTACATAAAAGTTTTTTTAAAAAAACCAAATTGACAAAGAAAATCAATGGTTGCTTTGGAGGGCTGGAAGGAAGACATTGCAAAGGGATATGAAAGCCTTTGGTGAAATAATGATTGTGTTCATTATTTGCTAGTGATGATGGCTTGTGTGTGTGTGTGTGTGTGTGTGTGTGTGAGAGAGAGAGAGAGAGAGAGAGAGAGAAAAGTTTTCAGATTCTACCTAAATATATGCAGTTTGTGTGTTATCTGTGGTCACTGTGATTCTGATTTACGGTGACCCATATGTGCAGAGCAGAACTGTCCATAAGGCTCTCAAGGCTGTGACCTAAAAACAGATCCCCAGGCCTGTCTTACATACAGTTTATTATACATCAATATGCCTTCATAAAGCTGTTTAGAAAAATAACAACTACACTAAAAAATCCCCCAACATATCAAAACTGGGGTAAAACAGCTAAAACACTGCTTCTCTGCACACTCATGTTTACTGTAGCATTATTCATGATAACAAAGAGGGAATGGAAACTCCCTTAATGCCCATCAACAAACAAAAGGATAGAGAAACTATGGGATATTACATAGCATTGAAAAACAATGAACTCAGAGAAGACTACACAACATGAGTAAGTCTGGCAGACATTATACTGGGTTAAGTATCTCAGTCACAAAAGGACAAATATGATATAAAATCATTGTTTTAACAATAGGTTAGATAGGATAATGAGAAAAGAAAGAAAAGAATGGATAGATGATGAACACCATATCAGAATAGGTGAAAGAAAGGACAACCTGAAAGGAATGAATGATTAGACATTATATATATGGCAATTAACAATCTGGAACAGGACAAACATTGCAAGTGGATGGGGGAAGTAGAGGGAGGAAGATGTGTATGAATAAATGAAAACCATACTCTTTGTAAATTGTCACTAAAATCAATTTTTAAAAAAAGGTAGTGGCAGGGGAGCTCTGGTGGCCTAGTGGCAAGGAGTTGCAACTACAATCCCAGAGGCACACGGTTCGAATCCACCAGATGCTCTGCCGGGAAAAGGAGGGACAATCTCCTCCTGTACCAGTCAGATCTGATTTGACGGTACACTCACACAAAAATAAAAAATTAAAAAAAAAAAAAGTAGTGGCAAGAAGCCACACTGCAATCCGAAAGGCACTCAAGTTCGATTCCACCAGCTGCTCTACAGGAGAAGGATGGGCATTCCCCTCCGGTGAGATCAACTGCCCCTGAAAACTGAACAGAGGGTCAGCCATGGGGGAGGGTCAGCCATGGTCGGTCCAGCTGGATGGCACACACCACCACCACCAGCAATGTGGTAATTATGCCTCTCAGTTTACAAATGCATGTGCATATAAAGTGATAATTTGGAGAGGGATACAATAAAAATAAATGTTCTATTATGTATTTGACACATTTTACAGTATTAACGACCAAATGACATACAAAAAACTAAAAAAGTTCAAAGAATTCGAGGGAAATTGAGATAATTTCTTCAAATTTGTATTGGAATTTTGTAAATTAACTAGTGGAAAAAGAAATATTGTTAAAAAAATAGTCCAAGGAATTGTGATCACTCCAGAAATCTAAGAGCAATTAAGGTTCAGGTTCTCAAAAACTCACCAGTGTAATGAGGTTGAGATTTTTACTGTTATCATTACTTTTAAATAATATGTGTCATATTTTTATCATTTTTAAAGCACTGAATTTGTGTTAGTAAGATCTAAAAGATTAATAACTTCTGTGAAGTGAAATTTGACTATTGCAATCATGACCTTAACATTGCATAAATAAGCTTTCGGAGGACAAATTCTGAATATTTTTACATTCTTCAAGTGCTAAATATTTTATATGACATTTAATAAATATTTATCAAGGACATGGAGGAAAAACCCAAACAGTGCTCCTAGAGAAGTGTATAGCTTTAAATGTCCTATTATTTTTTTTCTAATAATAGTATATATAAGCGATGATCAAAGATGGTAAAAAAAGAGCCAAGTAAACGAAGCTATTAGAACTAAGAAAAGAGAAGAAAGCAATAGGGGAAATATCCGCAGAAGCGACTCTTCACTATAGTAATTACTAAAGTAAAAATCTGTAAATTGTACCTCTGCAAAAGAAAGTGGCTTTGGTTCCAACCATTCTTTTGAGTTCTTGAGTTTGGAAAATTTATCATATAAATTTTTCATCGTGATGACAAACTAGAGCCCCTAGAAAAACTAAAAGATAGCTTTTTGAGTAATATAAACTCACAATCATCTTATTTTAATCAGTCCATGATATTATGATCAACAAATGGATATGCTAGAGATTAAGAACATAAACCATCCATGTTTTTCCTGATAAGCGAAGTTTCCTGCACTTGGTTTCTAGTGATTTGTTCAGGGTCAACCTTCTTAAAAACTGAGGAAGTTCTCTTTGAATTGTATTACCCCTTTCATGATTCAGAGGCAGTACAGAAACCGCCTTTCCTGGTTTCTGGAATGGCTTCTCTGACCATCCTACAATGTTATCCATTTAAATTGATGGGGCAATTTCAGCCTGGCCTCGAGGGACTGCACTTTTTTCTCTCTCCTTGCTGTCCATTTGTCTGGGTAAATCGCACCGCAGGAGATCGTCCATCTTTCTCCCGCAGAGCGGCTGGTGGATTCCAACCAGGAGAGGTCCTTTGGGTTAACAGCGCAACTCTCTACGGCATCACACCCAGACACCCTTTTATACCCACGCATCAGCGATGGACAAAGTTTCAAAGTTCCAGCTACTAAAACAAACAGCGTAGGCTGTTTATAGAAGGGACAATGGAACTTTCAAAATTTGGAAATCTTCAATTGAACCCAAAGCCCTCCCCAACGAGTCTTTCCAGAGGGAGTAGATATTCGTTTGCCCCAGAAATTGACCCACAGCACCCACTCCCATCCCACTCTCAAGTTCGAGATATCTGCTGCCTGGACCCCTAGCCCGGATCCGGCTAGCCTCGCGCGGAAGCCGCCTGCCCTGGGGGTTGCCCCCAGGCGGTGCAGGTAGCTTTGTAGGCCGCGCAACAGGCACCTCCGACCGCTTCCTTCACGACACTTGCAGAGGCTACAGCTACTCCGCACCGCCTTGGAATCCGGCCCGAGCGCCCACGGGACCGCTGATCCGTCCACTGCGGTGGGAGAGCGCGCGGGTTATAGAGCCGGGCGCCTGCGAACGTCAGGCTATTCTGTCCTATGTCCCTGGAACGAGACCCTTCCGCCGCGGCGGACAACGAGCGGGAGGCGGGATCCAGATTCAGTGGGGTCGGGAGACTCTAGTCTGCTCCGACAAGGTGTCCACTGAGACCCAGCTGAGGGACACGGAATTTGGGGCTGATTGGTGCCAGCCTTTGTGGTTGAATTCTTGTTTATCTGGCAACGGGATGGGGGTGGGGGGGTGGGTGGAGGGTGTCCCGGCTTCTTCGTGATAGGCACCTATCGCGGCCAATAGCAGTGCACGTCGCCTTCCCTCTGTCCGTTGGGGGCGGGTCTCTGCTGTGCTAAACTTGCGGCGACCACTTGTCTCCTGTACGAGGAAAGTACTTGTCTGCTCTGCAGACCGTCCAGGGCCACCCCCCATTCCTTAAGCGTAGTCCTCGTTTCTACTAGGTTTTGTCCTCGAGACAAATCCTTAGGAAGGATGTGGCGCGAAGAGATGTTCCTCCCTTCCAGTATCCCTTGGAAGGGCGTTGGAGGTTGTCCTGGTGAGGACCCGCACAGAAGACTTTAGGGAAATTTGATTGTAAGGACTGTACAGATGTTTCTCATCCACTGAGGTCTGTGCCCATATTTGACCCTGTGCTGGTCAGTGGTGAGGAAATAGGAATAATGATCAGCATATTTCCTTTACACTCGTTTACTTTACTCCGTGATTCTCCATCCTGGAGGGCGAAAATTTAAGCACTGGTGTCCAAGATCGACCCTGTTGTGTACCATCGAGTGGGAACCGACCCATAGCTGACCCTGTGGCGGGCTTTCAGAGGCAGTTAATAAATAATTCTTGAGAAAATTATCCATCCTACTTCCGCGGAAGCGCAGTTGGGATTACAGCGCAGCTTCTTGCCACTAGGCCACCAGAACTCCCAAGACCCACCCTAGATCAATTAAAAACGGATCCCTCAAGGGGGACCACTGTGTGTTGAGGGAGAGATAGATGTTCATACTTAGCTGATTCTGATGCAAACCAGTAACACAGCTAGACAATTGTGAGGCTCTGGTTTTTCCAAGCTCATTTTATAACTCTCTGGATTGTGATTTTCTAGGATTTTTCTTTTTCCTATTATTATTGATGGACACAAGATTATAGATCAACGTTTTCACGCTACTTTTCTTCCCCCCTCCCCTCAGAATACTCATATTAAAACACTCTGAAGGGATTTTTGTGTTCATTACTTTTAAGAGCCAGCCATAGTGAATAATTTTCCAGTTTTCTGAGCTGAGGGAACATGAACCATTTGCAGACATTACTGTTAGATACCCTTCTGGGAACGAAGCATGTGGACGGCGCAGCCCTGATCACACTCCATGAGCGCAGCCTATGTGTCGCATCACCAGGATTTAATGTAAGAAAAACAAGTTTGGGCATTAGTATTTGAAACCTTGTTTTCCTGTAAAGATCAAAGTAGTAAACTTTTTGGGCTTGCCATACGTCTCTGTCACAACTACTCAACTCTGGACATCAAAGAATGGTTGTGGCTTTCTATTTATGGACACCAAAGCTTGTGTGTGTGTGTGTGTGTGTGTGTGTGTGTGTGTGTGTGTGTGTGTGTGGTTTTTTTGTTGTTTTTGTTTATTTATTTAACCACTTGAAAATTTAAAAGCTTGCAAGCTGTACAAAATAGATAGTGGGTTAACTTTGGTCTGTGAGCCATAGTTTTTGGACCCTGGTCTATCTCTTACATCTCTGCAGATAATGCCCAATGATATCCAAACACTTGTGAATGGATTTGCCAAAAACCCTTTACAGACTAGAAGAGAAGGATTATATTTCAAGGAAAAACATTACAAATGTGTCCGGGCAGATGACTATTCTTTGTATGCGAAGAATGTGAGTAAAATTTGAAAACAAATTGAATAAAAATCTTAAGCACAGAGCTTTCCTGCTCTGGTATGGGGAGACATTCCCTCTAGAATCTATCAAATAAACTTTACCTGAACTCTTTCCACTCCAATCTGTCTTTCATACTCTGTATCTTCTTTTTTAAAGATGTCACTCATATTCTTAAAATCTCTATTGCCTCCATGTTGCCTCAAAGAAATTATTGTTGTTAGGTGCCATTGATTCAAAGAAATGAAATTTTAAATTTAATTCAAAGAAATTAAAAGGATGCAACTCACATTTGTTGTATTCCCTATATGGATTAGTCATACTTCATCTATGTTATAAACTAAGCCTCATTTTTCTGATTAGGAAATGAAGACTTAACAAAGTTAAAAAATTCTTTCATAATACAGTAGAAAATGGAAGTACTGGCATTAATGAATTTCAAAATGTATAATCATTCCAGTACATCTGTTTTATGCATTGGAACAAGGGTATATTACAATCAATTGGAAACTTTTCAAAAATCCACGGCTTTTTTTGTACAGTCTAAAGACAATTGTTGTTGTTATGTGCCATCGAGTCGCTTGCGACTCATAGCGACCAGAGTATCCAATACTTGGGTATATGGAAATGAGAAAAATGTTGAAAGCAGAAGCATAACTCCTTGGTCCCATGATGATGACCAAGAGAAGGGCATTCTGTTTTATTCTTTGTGCAGGAAAGCACTGGTGTGATAGTTGTGAAGACTCATCTGTATCTTCTTGTGGCAACTTACACTGAAGGCATGTATCCTAGCGTCTGTGTGGAAGCCACGGAGAAGCTTGGTACGTTGCTTCTAATTCCTTTCCTCAGAACTGTCATAGCAAACTATGGTGGCTCATCATCCCAAGGCCCTGCAACTTATTGGCAGGGTCCTGCTTTCTCTGTTTCGATTTTGAATAAGCAATTAAAACGTGTATGATGAACAAATAAATTAATCACTACTGCTTCAGAGAGCTAAATCAAGTGCCAAAGAGCTGATCATAAGGGATGTATTGAAATATAAACCACCATCACAGAAACAAAACATATATATATATATATATGTTTTATATATAATGTTTTATATATAATGATAGATATTCCCAGTTTTCTTAAGAATCTCCCAGGAGAGAAAAGTCATAAATACATGCTACACAGCTGTGAATGAGGTATGCTGGAAGTAAACAGGACTGAGTTGGAAAAGAAACACCTAACAGAGTCAGTAAACTCCAACTCAGGAAGGACAGAATATTAGAACTATTATGGACCCTTTCTGAGCAGCTGTCAGAATTGAGGGGAGGCATTGTGTGGTAGAACATTAGTAGGAAGACAGGATACAAACAGTTCCAGAAAATGAGGCAAGGAAGATGTACGATGAGGCTGTTAAATAATCAGATGAGGCTCAGGACTGATTCCCCATGTTTTCTATGAAGACAAGGCTCTGGGGACCGAAGACCTATACAGAAGTGGACCAGGGAGGATGCCTGACCTATTTAAAGAAGATAGGTACTGTGGCTGACACAAACAATTGATGCTTAAGACTACGACTGAGTATTTGCTGGTTAGAAGAACTCAGCTGACATCATGCCACTAAGATCCCACTGCACTGAGAAGGGACAGGCTCTCTTGGAAATGATTGGGTGCTCATGAGCCATAAACAAGGCTGGTACCCACTTTGGAACTAGTTACATGTCTAATTGTATTTCTCTCAAATTTAACGTATGTTTTCTATTAAAGTTATATGTAATTATTATAGAAGATTTGGAAAATAGTAGAACTATTAGAATGATTTTATGATGAAAGATTCTAGGAGCATGATTATTAATTACAGAAGACCTTTAAATAGTAATGGTTTATGGATGCTGTGTTACTTCTCTAACACAAATTAATCAGGTTTGTTTTTAAAACAAACATTATAGGGAATTTATAGCAAAGCCATGCCTTTGCATAAGAGTACTGAATATCCTATGAACTTCCATAAGAACAATCTGTCTTGGAGGAATCACAACTAGGGTGCTCCTCAGAGACAAGGATGGTGAAACTTTGTCTCACATACTTTGAGAATGTTGTCAGGAGGGACCAATCCTTGGAAAAAAGATAACATTAGGAAACGTGGAGGGTCAACAAGACGGACTGACACAATGACTGTGAAAATGGCCTAGAGGGTATCAGAGATTGTGAGGAGAGTACACAATAGGGCGAGGCGAGGCTCTTCTGTTCACAGGATTGCTGTGAATAGTAGTTTTGATGTCACCTAAAATTCTAATAGTGACTCACATACATTTGTAAAAAATAGCTTTAATTCAAAGTTCTAAGTTTTTTAAAAAAAATTAAGTAGATGGACAAGTTTTTATTTTATTAACTTTATTGGGACTGATTTTAAGTGTCACTACCATATTACAAGAGAACCATGATATATTTCTTACATTTCCTGAGATCTCTCTATATAAAGTAAAATTAAAGAATTGAAGCCAACCAGGTTTCCTGGTTTCCTTGTTAAAGAATTATATCTAACTCTAACTAAAGCCATATACTAAAAAATTAGGTACTATATTTTAATAAATGTGTGTAGAAAGAGATATCCTAATAATTTTGGTGTATTTTTTATTTGCATGAGAATTTCATTTATGATCATGTCTCTAAACCTGTAGCAAAAACCTATAGGGAAATATGGTTCATCTGCAAGTTTCATTTTCCTAGCAGATAATTGTCAGGGTCCACTTTAGTAACCATGTTGATAGCTACTGGTGAGTTAGACCCAATTCATGGTGACCCTCAGCACAAATGAATGAAGTATGCCTGATCCTGTGCCATCTCCATTATTGTTTTTCAGTAAGACCATGTTCCACTGTGGTCCATATGTTTCCATTGGTGATTTTTAGAAGTAGATTGCTAGGCCTCTTTTGCTAGTCTGTCTTAGTCAGAAAATTCTGCTGAAACTTTTTAAGCATCATAGCAACATGCTGGCCTCAACTGATAGCTGTGCATAGATACATTTGCCAGGAATAAAACTCAGGTCTCCTCCAGGAGAGAATTCTACCACTGAACCACCAAAGCTTCTTTTTGTTACTTAATACATCCTGATTGTCCTGGAGTTTGTCTGTCGTGGTTGAAATAAAGGCAAGTTAAGTAATGTCAAGCACTCAATTTAAAGAAAATATTGGTGATGTTGATGAGCTAGGTCTTAGCTTTCAAAGATATTATTAGAAGTAGCTTGTTTAAAATATGGCAATTAGTTTTAAATGTAAGCTATAGACTGCACAGGGCAAGGGAATCAACAGATGACTTTGTTCCCTTTGAACACATTACTATGCTGTTCCCTCTGCCCCAAGTATCTATCTGTCTTTCTTCCCTTTAAGAAACCCCATTGGTGCAAAGTTTAGTACTTACCAACTAACCAAAAAAAAGTGGGTGGATTGAACCCACCTGCCACTCTGCATGAAAAAGATGTACTGATCTTTCTGCTTCCATAAAGATTTTTAACCTTTGAAACACTCCTATAGAATCACTATGAGTCAAAATCAGCTCAATGGCAATAACATTTTAGTTTTGTTTTTATTATTTTTCTTTCCCTGGGTGGGGGGAATCTCACAGTGAAGGATTCTTTATAAGACAATGAATCATTGAGGGCACAGGTTACCCCTTAACTATCTAGCAATTCCTGTGTCTTCAGTAACTAGCTAGAGTCCTAGCACATGGTGACCACCCAATAATATTATTTAATAAATAAATTAATAAGTGAATCATACCATAGTGATAAATTGTTGCTTTAATTTCTTCCAGGACAATACCTAAGAAAAAAGGGAAGCTAAGACATAAGAGACAACTATTAAAGATAGCATTTAATTTTTTAGAAGAAAACTTACAGAGCCTAAATAAATGTCTGATTTTATTTTTGAGAGGTTTTTTTTTCTTTATTGTAGACTTGGGTACATGAAATAAGACCTACTGCATGGGAAACAGGGGAGAGAATGTAAAAACTCCAAGTAGAAAAAAAGCTAACATTGGATTGTGGCAAAACCCAGAGAATCTGTTTGAGCAACTGAAAAATTATGTATGTTTCACAGTTGACCTCATGATACTAAATGATCTGCTAAATTTACAATTTATGGTTCTCAATGTTGAGGTTCATAATTAAGCTAGGAAATCTTCAAGCTTGAGCTAATTGATTGTTTAGCTTTTGAATCTTTTTTGTTGTCTAAGAGTAGAGGTCTGGTGGCTTAGTGCAAACCCAAAGGTACATGGTTCAAATTCACCAGCTATTCTGAGGTAGAAAGATGAGCAGTCTCCTTCCATGTGATTAACTGCCTCTGAAAATATGCTGGAAGGCAGGTCGTGCCAAGCACTCCATGCACCAGACAGATCGAATTTGAGTGAGAAATATTATTAAAATAATTATTGTGGGAACCACAGGAGCAGTGTGCCTCTGCAGGGAGCAGCAAGCCATGGCAGGACCCACACACCAGGAGCAAATAGGACAGTGGGAATTTGAGTGAGGTACTTAGTGGGGGATTACTAGTGATTGTTGGACCAATTGTGGGACCCCTTTGCTTTAAGCAGGAGGGAGTAAGACAGCTAGAGCTCAACTGGGGTGGCAGACCCAGTTCTTGAAGGGAAAACTAAGGCTTCCTGGTTTTCCATTCAGGTCTCCCTCTCCACAAACACACACACACACACCCGTGTAGGTCTGTGAGCATTTCCCCCTTAGCCCCCACATGCATCCACATGTGTGCCTGCCCTATGTGCATGCATGCCTGCCCCTGCCCAACCTTCTTCTGGAGCAGTGACATCAGATCAAGAACTGGCTCTCACCTCAGGCACGAAAAACTCTACCACAGCAATGTCGTGAAAGAAGCAGACTACCTCACTTCTTACACAAGCCCAAAGCAAAATATCACCCCCCAAAAATGACATAGGATCAATAGATTTCTTGAAGCCAGAAAGTCTGATGGAACTTTCTCTCACAGAATTTAAAAGAACAATATTTCAATATTTTCAGTGGGTGAAAGACAAACTTGAAGAATTATAGGACACTACAGGCAAAACCCAGGAGGAGCTTGAAAAAAATACAAACCAATGCAGATAAAACAAACGAGGCATTGGAGGCACTGGAAAAACAAGAAAACATGATCCAAAATATGAGGTCCAATGTTTCAGATGCTGTCAACATGATGGAGGGACACGTGAACAGAGCTGAAAAGATGGAACAAAGAACCAGTGAAATAGAAAATAGAATTGAAACACTGGTCTGCTAGAGCAAAAAGTAGAATCAAAAAGGAAAGAAAAAGAAGAAAACCTAAGAATAATGTGGGACACTATCAAGAGAGATAGCATGCATATCATCTGAATCCCAGAACATGAAGAAGTAAGTAAAGGGACCAAAAAAAGCTGTGGAAGAATTACTAGAAGAAAACTTCCCAGGCATAATGAAGAATGAGAGATTATATTTTCAAGAAGTTGAGCAAAGACCATATAGAATAAACTCCAAAAGAAAAACATCAAGGCATATCATAGTCAAATTTTCCAGAAACAAAAATAAGGAGAGAATTCTGAAAGCTGTGAGGGAGAAACAAAGAGTAACCTATAAGGGATAAGATTAAGTACCAATTTCTCAGCAGAAACCATGCAAGTAAGAAGATAGTGGAATGACATATATTGAACACTCAAAGAACACACCCAAGAATACTGTACCCAATGAAACTGTCCATCAAATATGAAGGAGATATTAAGATATTCCCAGGGAAAAAAAAATAACAAACCACCCTAAGGGAGTTTGTAAAAACAAGTCCAGCCTTGCAGGAAACTCTGAGAGACGTCCTTCTTACAGAGGTGTCACAGAAAGTAGGATGGACCAATGGAACTAGCAACACCATCAAAAAAAACCTCAACAAAATGATAGCAATAAAACCTTGCCTCTCAATATTCACTGAATGTGAATAGTTTAAATGCACCACTGAAGAGAAAAAGAGTAGCAAATTGAATAAAAATACCCAAATCTATCAATATACTGTCTGCAAGAGACACACCTGACAAAGAAAGAAAAATAAAGACTAAAAATAAAAGAGTGGGGGGAAATACCAAGCAAAGGTAACCCGAAAAAAGCAGGAGTAGTGACATTAATCTCTGATAAAATAAATTTCAATGCAAAAACCATCCCAACAGACAAGGAATATCACTACATAATGCTGAAAGGGTCAATAGAACAAGAGAACATAATAATAGTATCTATGCACCAAATGAATAACCTGTAAAATATATTAAAAAAAATTTAAAAAACTGAAAAAGGAAATAGACCACACTACTAATCGTGCTAATGAGAAACCTATACTTGGACCAAGAGGCACTCGTCAGAACAGAGCAGTGTAACACTGCATGGTTCAAAATTTGGAAAGGTGTACACCAGGCATGTGTCCTACCTCCATACCTTTTCAACCTGTATGCAGAGCAGATTATTTGAGAGACTGGGCTCTATGAGGAGAAGTGTGGCGTCAGGACTGGTGGAAGATCTATTAACAATCTGCATTATGCAGATGACACAACCTTGCTTGCTGAAGCTAAGGAGGACCTCATGTACTTGCTACAGAGAGTCAAGGACTGCAGCCTTCAGTATGGACTGAGGCTCAATGTCAAGAAGACAAAGATTCTCACCACTGGACCAATTGGCAGCATCAGGATGGATGGTGAAGAGATTGAGATTGTTCACAGCTTCAGTTTGCTTGACTCCACGGTCAATACTCTTGGCACAAGCAGCCAGGAAATAAAAAATGCATTGCAATGGGAAAGTCTCCTATTAGAGACCTCTCTAAAGTACTCAAGAGCAACGGTGTCTCTCTGGAGACTAAGGTGCATCTGATACAGGCCATGGTCTTTGCAATCACTTGTTATGCATCAGAGAGTTGGACAATGACTAGGGAGGATAGAAAGAGAATTGATGCCTTTGAGCTGTGGTGCTGGAAAAGAGTATTGAATGAACCATGGACTGCAAAGAAAACAAACAGATTCATCCTAGAGAGGGTTAAACCAGGCTACTCCTTGAAGGCAAGGATTCTGGGGCTTCGTCTGACATACTATGGACATATTGTAAGGAGGGACAGTTTCTTGGAGAGGGACATCATGCTTGGGAGGGTGGAGGGACAGCGCAGGAGGGGAAGACTCAACATCACATAACAACAACTATAGTTGTTGTTGTTATGTGCCATCAAGTCGCCAGCACAGGAGGGGAAGACTCGACGTCACATAACAACAACTATAGTTGTTGTTGTTATGTGCCATCAAGTCGCCAGCACAGGAGGGGAAGACTCGACGTCACATAACAACAACTATAGTAGTTGCAGACTTAAATATACCACTTTTATAGGCTAATGCACACACACACAAAAGCACAATATATCATCTTCTCCAGAGTGTATGGTACAGAATAGATCACATTTTAGGTCACAAGGCAAGCATCCATAAATTTAAGAACAGAGAAATAATACAAAGCATCTTCTCAGGCCACAATGCTACAAAATTAGAAATTAATAAAAAGAGGATAAAGTAGAAAAAAAATACATTTGGAAGCTGAACAACCCCTTGCTTGAACATGACTGGGTACTAGAAGAAATAAAAAATGAAATTAAAAAGTTTCTTGAAACAAATGACAATGAAAACACTACTTACCAAAACCTCTGGAAACAGCAAGATCAGTAATCAGAGGCCAATTTATAGCAATAATCAAACACATCATAAGGCAGGAAAAAATGATCATTGACTCTCTAACCTAACATCTCCAACAAATTGAAAAAGAACAGCAAGAAAACCCAACATCCTCTAAAAAAACTGAAATTATAAAAATTAGAGCAGAAATAAATGAAATAGAAAAGCCAAAAAATAATTGAAACCATCAACAAAACTAGGAGTTGGTTCTTTGAAAAGGTCAATAAAATCGACAAATGACTAGCAAAACTAACAAAGGAAAAAACACAAATAATCTGAATAACAGATGAAATGGGCAACATCACAACAGAACCAACTAAAATAAAAAGATATTGGAATATTACGTAAAAACTATCCACAAACAAATTTGAAAACCTAGAGGAAAATGGAAAAAAATTCAGAAATTCACAACCTACTTAAATTGACACAAACCAAAATTGAACACCTCAACAGACCCTTTTAGAAGAAGAAATTGGAAAGATAATAAAACAACTTCCAGCCAAAAAACAAAAACAAACCAAAAAAAAAACCCAAAAAACCAAAAAAAAAAAAAAGCTCTGGACCAGATGGTTTCACAAGTGAATTTTCTCAAACATTCAGAGAAGAACTGTCACCAATTCTACATAAACTATTTCAGAAAATAGAAAAAGAATTCTCCCAGACTCATTCTATGAAGCCAACATATCCTTCATACCAAAACCAAGTAAGGACATCACCAAAATAGAAAAGTATAGGCCAATATCTCTCATGAACACAGATGCAAAAATCCTGAATAAAATCCTGACCAATAGAATACAACAATACATTTTAAAAAAATTAAAATTCACCATGACCAAGTAGGATTCATAACAGGTAGGCAAGGATGGTTCAACATAAGAAAACCAATCAATGTAATTCATCACATAAACAAAGCAAAGCACAAGAATCACATGATCCTATAAATTGATGAAGAAAAGGCCTTTGACAAAATCCAACACCCTTTCCTGATTAAAACATTCAACAAAATAAGATTAGAGGGGAATTTCTTCAACATAGTAAAAAGTATATACTCAAACCCAAGAGCCAACATTGTTCTCAATGGAGAGAGATTAAAGGCATTCCCTTTGAAAACAAGAAC